ATTATTTAGATGATGTACCATAATTAGTAAAATTAGAATAATAATTAAATTACCCTTTAATTTTTTATCTTAAATTTTAATTGATGCTAGAAATTATTTATATTTTTATTTGGTACTTTTCCGTTATACACTTGCAAATTTTTTCAACTAGGATTCATTTGCCCGTAATATTGTTCAGAATCATCGAATCACATCATTCGTAATTTATTGTGTTTTTGACCCCGAAATTATGCTTTGCTCTCAATTATTTTTCAATTTTCGGGGATTAAGTATATCTCATGGGGTGTTTATATATTTGTATATTATATTATATATTAATAATAATATACCTAATAGAGATCGAGCTGGACCTGGACCAAGGCCTGGGTTTTTTCTGTACCCAGAGTCCAGGTCCAGGCATTTTTTTACCTTCCTGGGTTTTTCCTGGACTACAGGCCCAGGATCCAGTCCAGGTCAAGAAATCAAATCCAGAGTCCAGGAACAGGTCCAGGCTTTTCAAAAATCTCGATCTCTAATACCTAATATAAAACAATTTCTACAAGAATTTTTTTAAAATTATCTAGGAGATTTAAATTTAAAAACTCTCATTGTTGTTCTTTTTTTTCCATGACTGTATAAAATATTTTAAATTTTTAATAAAATTATGTAAAGGCTATAGCTTTATAGCTTATTGTATATTTGGAAAAGTTTGATCAGGTTATCTAGGAGGATTTATAACTTATATCTAGGAGGATATAAGTTATCTAGGAGCTTAATTGAAAAGCTAAAAATAAAACTACGAGTCGAGATGGGCTTGCTGAGTATCTCGGGATCGTCCTTTTGTCAATTTCCGGTCGATTTACATCATTCTTATTATTTAGAAATAAGTCCAAAAAATTACATTGAATTTAAAATCACTTTTATTATAAAGGGCATTGTTGCCCTTTTAATTCACGTGAACATTTAATTAAGACTTAAATTACAAAATATTAAATGAAATAAAATAATGAAATCAGGCAAAGTGCATTTTGGCCGCCTCTTTAAAATCCCTCGCTAAATTTAATCATAGAAAAATAAAATAATTCTTTCGAAAAAATATGAATTCCTTAATAATGCTTATTATTTTATTAAATAATTATATGTTAATATTTTGTGTTTTTACTGGAAATAATTATAGAAGTAAGTATTGTTTTATAATGTCTGAATTGACTAAAACATCAAAATTTCTCCAATCTTCGTAATTTTTACCATTTACATTTTGTCTTATCAATTGTAGTAGTACCTAGATCAAATTTTACTCGATATGCTTTCTGAATTAGAGCAAGGATTTTTGAAATTTTAATAGATTTATAATTATTAAAGATTCATTTTTATTTAATTTTCTGCTAAATTAAAAGCAATAGAAATTTTAAACATTTTATTTTTAACAGTCCAATCAACTCTTCCGAACTTCAACACAAATTTTGGAGACTTTCAATCGAAAACTCAACCAAATAAACAAATAATTGGATTTAATTGGAAGACTGGAAATTGTAAATATTTTTTGATCTGATTAGATAATTCAAATAAAAATAATTTTTTAGCTAATTTTTTATCAACAAATTCAAAAGAACGACATGGAAATAATTCTATTATACAGTCGTGGAAAAAAGTATGGAAGCACTAGAAAAATTTTATTTAATTCTTAATTTTTCATTCAAAAAATACGTTCTATATACCAATCGAAAGCTCTGTTCGTATCTCAGTTGACATGTTTCTGCATTTTTCATGAAAATGAAAATTGGCCGAGATAATCCGGATCCAAATCCCACTTTTTCGGAAAAATTTTTCGGAATAAATTTAACAAACCCATTTGATAAAGCATATTTTTCTGAGTATGTATCACAAAACCGCTTAGAAATATCTTTTTCCGGAGCAGAGATATGATTTTTTGAAAATGGCATTTTTCGCTTAAAAATTGAATTTTTTGCAAAAATAGACAAAAAATGCCATTTTCAAAAAATTATATCTCTGCTCCGGAAAAAGATATTTCTAAGCGGTTTTGTGGAAAATACTCAGAAAAATATGCTTTATCATTTGGGTTTGTTAAATTTGTTCCGAAAAATTTTTCCGAAAAAGTGGGATTTGGTATATCCGGTAGATCCGGATTATCTCGGCCAATTTTTATTTTCATGAAAAATACAGAAACATGTCAACTGAGATACGAATAGAGCTTTCGATTGATATATAGAACGTATTTTTTGAATGAAAAATTAAGAATTAAGAAAAAATTTTCTAGCGCTTCCATACTTTTTTCCACGACTGTATTAGCAAGAGCTAATAAAGATAAAGAAGAGTTTAATCATGAATTTCCTTCAGAAGAGCCTGGTAGTTTTAGAAATCAAATTAATATTAATTTACTAGTTAAAGACAATTTATCTAAAAATCTTTTTTTTAAATATGGCTCGATATTAAATTCAGTCTAAAAAACTTAAAAAAATGTTTCAGTTCCCATTTATAAATTTTCTAAAATAATCGAATTTAGGGGGACTAGCAGATTATCCGTGGGGAACCGAATAAATTTGAACTTTGAAGAATTTTCTCTTCATATAAAGAATCAGATTCAAAACCCCTAAATTCTGTAATTTCCATACAAGGATTGAAAAAGGCAAAAATTAACTTTGTATATGAAAGGAGTGCTCCGATCGCATTTTTTCTTACTTCCTTATGTAGACCGCCTCGGAGTGGTCAAATTAATCAAAAATTTAAAAATAAATTTACCTCTTATTTTTAAGTATATAATAAAAGTAACGTAATGATCTTACTCGAAGCTTTATTTAATGTTTGTAAAATACATGAATACAAAAATTTTGAGGAGATATATAATGCTTCAAATTATTTAATGAATAATAATAATAAATATAATTTATTAGAATATATAATTAATAAAGGAATTGATATAAAAATAAAAAGACAAATAATTCAATTATTTTACTTTTTTGATTATAAAATTGAGGAAGAAAGAGCTGATGAAGAAGGAATTAATAAAATTATTAGAATGAAGGAACTTGATTCAAAAATGTGTTTTTGGGCAGTTAATGTTTATTTATTAAATTTATATGCATCTATGGGTGGGGAAAATAATAAAGTTGAAAAAGTTCGAAATATGTTTTATAAACAAACAAAAATTGATGTTAAACGGTTATTGAGAGGATTATTACAAAAGTTTTGTTTTTTTTAATTTAAAAATAAATAAATTATTGGGTAAAGGGGGTTTGAAGATTACAAAAAAATTTTTATTTGTATGAATCCTTTCAAATAAAAAACACTTTTCAATCCTTGATTCGTGTCGGGTCACGGATCAACCAGACAAGTCAAGGAAAAGACAGGTCAAGAAACGACCAACTCAAGGAACGAGCAAATCATGGAATATTTTAAAAATCAGAATTAGTTGAAAAATCTGAGTTTTTCAGAATTTTTTTTAAATTCCGTCTTTTAAAGTATTCTAATTTTTTTAATTCTTATTTTTTAAAAACATTCAGATTTTTCAAAAAATTCCGATTTTTAAAATATTCCATGATTTTGTTGTTCTTTGACTTGTCTATTCCTTGAATTGGCATTCCTTGAGTTAGCATTCCTTGATTTAGCCCTCACCCGACAGATTAAAGAGTAATTGCCCAATTTGTCACAATTTATGGTAATAGTTTGGAATTCGCCCCCCTTTTTTCCTTTCTATTTTTTCTAAGTTTTTTTCATTATATGGCAAATTATATATCATTCGAAAGAGCTCTTCAAGCTGAGTCGAATGACGTTAAGATCAACGAAATCCGACTTAAGTGAACAAAGTTGTGACCGTTTATTTTATCCCCTTGCGTTGACACAAAAAGTTTGCCCAAACTAGGATTTGGCTTCATAATTTTGGTAAGATTGATCAGATCTGGCCAATCATGGTATAATTCGACCACGCTCGAAGAGCTCTTTCGAATGATATATGATAAATTATGTATCAAACAAAAAAGCTCAAAATGGTCAGGGAAACAGTGAAAAAAGGGGGGGCGAATTCCAAACTATTACCCAATTTATTAAAAAACTTTGTTTAAAATATACATAAATTAATTTACTAAACTTTTCAGTAAAACTTTAAATGAAAATGAAAGAAAATATATAAAAGACGGGGTTATTGGTGTCACAAAATATATTTTTAAACAATTTACTAAACATAATAAAATTTTTGTTGGTGGTGGATGTTTTGAACATTTTGGAAAGGATTGTTTGGATGAAAATTAATTTAATTTAATATAAGATTTATTTAATAGATTTATTTATATATTTAAAGTATATTTTTAATTAATTTTAAACGTTTAATGTCTGGTAAATATTTTTTTATATCAATAAATGTCTGTTTTTTGGCTCATAAATAGACCTCAGACAAAAGGGGCGCATAATTTGATGAATTTCATTTATTAAAAAATATTTTTAATTCTTCTAATATTTTTTGACACGGAGATTATATTGAATAAGTTATTATCAAACATTCCTCTTTTACTTTTCAATTTCTTAAACAAAAACAAAAACCTTTCTAACCTTTCTACAAAGTATAAGATGATTAATTTTATTTAACAAAATTATTTATTATCAAAGCAAACACACACCAAATATTCCCCAATTAGTTTTGGGGGTTCAACTTTGTAAGGGGCAGAGCATTTTTATTTTTTAAGTGCAGGCAAACATCGATTGCTGGTTTGTGGCTGCATTTGTCTTTGCAAAAAAAATTTTTTTTTCTACATTTATTTCTTCATGAGAATCATTAAAATTATTTTAAATGTAAAATTTTCTTCCGCTAATTGATTAAGGAATTGTTAAATTACAAAAAATTGACACGTAGAAAAGAATGATAAAATAATTTTTGTTAAATTTTAGAAGAACTATTATATTTTACATTTTTATTTTTATTTAATTACATACTCCAATAAAATTTAAAAAATTAATTAAATTATTTTCTAGTTAATTTTTAGATTTTTAAAATTAATTTAAAAATAAAATATGGATTCAATAAGTAGTAAATCATCATTTAATTTTTCTTCAAGTTCTTCATGTTCTGAAGAGGATTTTGAAAATTTGTCAACAAACTTTGTTTCTTCAAACGATACACAATCGTTAAAAGAAGAATTGAAGTTTTATAATGAAAAAATTGTTGGATTGGAAGTATTTTAATTAAATTAATATTTTTTGGAAAAATAAGGGAGAAGGGGGGGGGGGGGGTTAATAATTTATGGAAATTAAAAAAGATTTTGTGTAAATTTCAGAAGTCCATCCAAAAATATAAATTTAAAAAATTATTTTAAGCAAAATTAGGTAATTTAAATAAATTTTTAGAAAAATTAAAATAAAAAATATTTTTGTGGGGAAAAGAGAATTTCTGATTAATATTAAGCAAGTCCATCCAAATAAAATAAATTTCAAAAATTATTTTAATTAAAATTCTACAAAAATTTAAACAAATTTTTAGAATCAAGTAAAAGAGAATAATGCTCTTTTATTACAAATTGATGCAAAATTGGATAAATTTGTTTGTTAAATTTTAAATTTTTTTTTAATTTAAATTTAGTTAAATTTAAATATTTTCAAAGAAGAAAAGAAAAATATTTTGCATAAAATGTCTCCTGCTCCTCAAATTAATAATAATTTACCTATTTTTAATTCGGCACAAAGTAAATTAATTTTTAAATAAATTTTAATTTTATTTTTTTATGTCTTTAGATTCTTTTGCTAATAATTGGCTAATTCTGCCAGAAAAATTTGTTTCTTCAGCCAATACATTTCCGTTAAAAGACGAGGCAGAAATTTCCAAATCGGAGGCTGATTTACTTAAAGTATTTAATTAAATGTTTTGTCATAAAAATGAGTGACGGGAGTTTTTTAATGAAAGAAAAGAATCTAAATTAATTATATGTAGTAGTTAGGGTTGCCGTTTTCGAGTCGGGCCGACGTTCGTAACATTTTTTCAGGCTTGTTTTTCGAGTCGGGCCTGTGCGAGTCACTTTCGGGCCAAATATCTTAGGCCCGACTCGATCTTTCGGTCCGAGTCGGTTCATTTTGGCAACCCTAATAATGTAGTACTAATAGAAAAATATTAACGATAAAAAAGTAGATGAAATTTAATTTTTAATTTATTTTTTAATTTTATTAAAATTATAATATAGGAAGAAAACACAAAAAATATTTCGAATGAAGAAAAGGAAAATATAAATATTGTACACGAAATGGTTCCTGCTCCTCAAATTGAAGATTACAATAAAAATTTTCCTGCTATTAAATTAAAATGGCCAGAACGTAATTAATTTAAATTTTATTTAAATTCAAAAAAAAGATCTATGAATTTAATTTTAGTGTAAATAATTTCTCTTTAAATTAGTAAAAGTTATTTAGTCCTTAACCAAAAATTAAATACTTGATTGAAAATATTATAAATAAAATGTCAGATTTATAATAAGATCTTTTGGTATTCAATTAATATTTGTAACGGCTCCACAAAAATAATTTTTTCCTTTAATTTTTTAGCGGGTAGCAATTTCTTTTTACTTGGTAAACAAATATTTGATTATTCAATTCTACAACTTGATAATTACCCTTTTATTGTAAACTTTAAAATTTAATTTTTAAATTTATTTTTATTTTTCAAAAAAGAAAATAATTAATTTAAAAAATAATAAATGGGCGAATATTTTACTTGATTGGGGTTGTTGTAGAAATAATTGTGTAAATATAAGTCAACGAGGATTTTGTCAAAAAGGGAATGGAATTGTTCGTTTACGAGATAATATTGCTAAATATTATCTTTCTACTGTTAAAAATGGTTATTTTTAGGGTACTTTTCCGTTAATCGGCCGCAAACTGAGTATTAGCCGACTTTAAAGAGCTATAACTTTTTGATGCTTGATCCAATACAGATGAATTTTATATCATTCGAAAGCCCTCGATAAGCTCTATCTTTTACCCAACTGTATAGATCAGGTCTGATCACTCATAAAAAATTGCATGTCAAAAAGTGCAAGAAATCGTTGTTTTACACTATTATCGGGGCATAACTTTTTTATGCTTGATCTGACCTGTTCAATACAGTTGGGTAAAAGATAGAGCTTATCGAGGGCTTTCGAATGATATAAAATTCATCTGTATTGAATCAAGCATCAGAAAGTTATAGCTGTTCAAATTCAGCTGTTGCTCAGTTTGCGGTCTAACGGAAGAGTACCTTTTTTAGATTAAAATTTTAAAATAATAATATTTTTTAAAAGGTATCAATAGATCATTTAAAATAATTTCCGAAAAAGGATTTACTCCCTCAAAAGAAAATAATATTTTATATTACTTTGAAGTTAAAATAATTCCTGAAATTGAAGAAGAATGCGGGTATGGAAGGATTAAATTAAATTTTAATTAAAAAATTTAGTTGGGAAAATTTAAAAATTTTTAGTTGGGCAGTCGAAATTGGTTTATTTAAAGACAATTCCCAACAATTCCGTGTTTGTAGCAACGGTCTATTTTGTTCAAAAACAAGTTTAAATTCTCCATATAAACAAATTCCGATGTTTGGATGTTTAATTAAACCTATGGATATAATTGGATGTGGAATTTATTTTCCACAATTAAATAATGAAAATAATTCTGCTCAACTTTTCTTTACTCTTAATGGAAAAAAGAAAGGTGGAATTAAAATAAAAAATATTTTTTTAAATTTATTTTTAAAGGAAAAACAATTTTTGTTGAGTTAAATGATGATAAGGATTCTCTTTTGTTTTATCCAAATGTTAGTCTTTTTTGTTGTTCAGTTGAAGCTAATTTTGGTACAAATAAATTTCTTTACAAAATTGGTGAATTTAAGGAATGAATAAATTTTGAAGAAATAATTATTATTTGTTTTTAACATTATATATATTTGTATTGTCTACAATTATTTGTTTTTAATATATGCCTTGGTTATTTTGAAGTTTTTTTAATAATTGATAAAATAAATTGAAATTATTATGGAAATAAAACAATGAAAATAATTTTTAGTAAAATATACCTAAATAATTTTTGGAATTTATACAAACACAAATAACTAAAATTAAAAGGTTAAAAAATACTAAAGATTCGCCTTCATATTAATTAAAATATTTTTAAAAATAAATTGGCAGGCTTTAACCAGCTAGAAAATAATGAAAATAATTTTATATGTACATATTAGCAGATAATTTTAGAGTTATTTAATAAACAAGACAATGATTTTTTAAACCAAAATAAATTTATTTAATTGGTTTATTAACCTAAGAAGCCTGTTATAGGCCAATAAGCCAGAATTACTCCTTTTTACAGTCCCTTTTTTTCTATTTTGTATTAACAGATAATTTAGATAATTAATCCAAAACCAACCAAAATATTTATTTTTTAAAAATCCATTTTTAAATCAATCAAACAATAATTCAAACTCTACTACCTCCGTTCTTTATAATTTTTGTGGTCATTTGTTTGGCCTGTCATTATTCTTCTTACATTAGCAGATGAACAAACAATCAAACTGTCACGCTAAGAAAAGAATTATTTTACGGAAAGGAGTAGAGTAAATATTTACTGACCGGTATATTTTTATTTGAAAATAAAAATTATATATCCCGTTGTTCCTCAATTCTTTTACTTCAATGTCACTTGAGTTATAGATTCTCTTTTCCTTTATAATTCACACCTTTCAAAAATTTGTTAAAATAATAAAATATGTACATAATTTATGTATAATAAACATATTTTTCCAAATACAGCCTCATGGGGCTGTATTTTTAAACAGTATATATTTTTATTTGATAATAAAAATTATATTAAATTCTAACAAGAAATCCTCCAGACTGGGGCTGTATTAGGGAATGGGGCTCTAATTGAGAGAGGGCTCTATTTTTCAACGATCCTCAAAAGTGGGGTTGTATTAGGGAGTGGGGCTCTTATTGGGAGTAGGATTTTGGGAGTATGGTTTTATTTGGAAAAATAGTGTTTATATTTGTGAAATATGTACCTATTATCAGAACCGAATTAAGAAATAATTTGTTGAATTATTTTTATTTAAAGACTATTTGAGAATTTTAGACTTGAAATCTACCCCATAAATATTTTAACTTTTTTATTAATATTTTTATAATATTATTTTATCCCGTTAAATTTTTTAAAATCATCCAATAAATACCTTTTTTGGGTGATTGAATGTTGCCCCAAAAAATTTTAAATCATTAAAATATTTCTTTGTTTAATTTTAAAAAGAAATCTTTTTCAATTCTTTAAATTATTCTCATCTTCTTCTAAAATATATATCCATAAATATCTCTTTAAATCCACTTAAGAATTGCACATCATTACATGTACTAAACAACTAAACACAATTCACAATATTTCTTTAAATAAAAGAGCAGGTCACGACGCAAAAACATTTTTAGTCTAAAAATACATAGGAAAGTTTAAATGCCTTCGTTAGATTCATTACCACCTCCGGCAACAATTGCTGCCCTTAATATTAACAACAACAATAGTAATTATTATAATAACAATCGTTGGTCTAAATTACCAAAAAGTCCCAATGCTAGAATGGAATTAATTACAAAATCGAGGAATTTTAATGTTAATAAAGCTGAGAGTTTGGATAGCAATTCGATAAAGTATTTTTAAAATAATTATTTTTATCTGATTATAAGAACCCATAAATTTAACAGAAAAGTCAAAATTTATTTTTGTAAAGCATACAGCTATTTAATTCCTAAGGCTGTGCAGTAGACGGCGTGATGTAATGGCTAACACATTAGTCCGGTTTACTGAAGATGCTGGTTCGCTCCAAGCCGCCGATTAACCTTTTTCACTAGCTAAAGGAGAGAAATAGCTATATCAGCTGCTTTACTTTTTAGAAAACCGGGAAAACAATATTTAATTCCCCGAATGACCAAAAACAATCAGAAATTTTCAAAAAAATATTTTAGCGTTGCAGTAAATCAACAACAACTTCCCCGTGTTCTTTTAAGGAGGAATGATTACTCAGACATAGGTGAACTTTTAGGCCAAGAACAATTAACAGGAAGTAGTCAAGTATTGTGTCATTATCGAAATATCTCATCTTTATCAACAACATCCTCAACACTTCGCCCAATTTCTTTACTTTGTCAATTAGGTTGTTGTCAACATATTTTGGGTGGTTGTTGTACTTTAGAAGATAATAATGGACATTCTTCCTCTTCCTCTTCCTCTTCTTCCTTTTCTTCATCCCCTCCTTCATCATCTCCTACACAATCATTAGTCAGTTATCATTGGGCAATAGCTCTTTTATGTGCTTTTATTATTTGTGTTTTTGCCTCAACATTGGCAATGTTAGTTCTTTATTGGACAAATAGAAGGTGGAAAAATAAAATTAACTAATAAATTATTAATTTTAAATAATTAAAGAAGAAATGCTCATTCACGTCGCCAATTAATGTTATCAGAAAAATATTCACTAGGAATTATTGGTAGCTCAACAGCATCACAACAAAGTAGTGGAACATGTCCTGGAAGTAGTTATGGAACCCCTTCATTAATTGAATCCACTACAGCCAATGGACACATTCCGTTGGTTAGAAATATTTTGGATAATTATTATATAAATTTCATTTATTTTTAAAGCATTTTTATAATAATCATCAACAACAAAATAAATATTTTCGTAATTTATATACACCAACATCTCCTCCCTCTTCTCTCGCCAATATTTCTCCTTCAACAGAACGTCATCGTTCTGTTGGCGGTTATTTAATTGCTGAACCTCCACAACATTTACTTAAACCCTATCAATCTGGCAAATGTCTTCCTCGGCATAGAGATGGAGGTTTTTCAATATCTCCTCCAATAATTGATACATCAACAGCTAATTATGCATATAACCCTCCAGATGAAATTTATTTTAGATCATCTTTTTAAGAAAAATATATTTTTAAAAAATTATTCTTTTTAAATATTTAAATTTAAAGCTGTTTTTGTGAATTTTTAAGTAAAAGCCAGAGAAAATTAGAATAATCAAAAAATAAAATGCTGAATTAATTTTTTCTAAAAGTATGACAATAATACTTGTATAATATTTGAAATAAATTGGGATATTTTGTTTGAGAGTTGGTAAAACGATAAAAAATCCAAATTCTTACACCTTCTTGTAAAATCTTTATTTACCAATCAAAGAATTTCAAAAGTGTGGATTAATTTTAATAAAAACAAAAACAAACATCCAATTATCGTTATCTCAAAACCCGAAAAATCAACGGAAGCTACAAAATGTCGGATTAAAAATTAGGGTTCCAAGAATTTTGGAACAAAATGTTCTTGTTAATTTAATTATGAAATATTTTTCTTCCTATTAAATTGGTGAATTAAAAATAAAAAATGCAAATAATATTTTATTATTTAAAATTACAAATCATTAAATTAATAAAACTATAATTATATAGTTCATTAATATTTTCTTTTATTTCTTTCTTCACTTTAATTGAACATTTATTTACCCCTTAATTAAAAATATGAAATTTGAAAAAAATTAAATATTTTACACGCAAGGTGGAATAACCAATTTTCCATGAAATCCGCGACAAGGAGTTCTACATTGGGGTTTGAAATTAATATCTTGACAATTTTTACAAGCAGAACAGCTAGCAGTGCAAGGTGGGCCACAGACACGCTTGAAACATGCTTGACAACTCTAAAATTATTATTTTTTTATTAAATTAATTTTAAATATTTCATAGAATAGTTTGACTGTAAAAAAAGATTTAAAAAAAAGTTTAAAATTTGTTCTTTTTTCCAAATAATTACCGTATTTCCTATATTAGAGCCCCACCCTCTAATACAGCCCCACTTTGGAGGATAGTTGAAAAATACAGCCCACCCTCACATAGAGCCCCACCCTTAGTACAGCCCCACCTATATTGGGGGAAAAATAAAAAAACATCCCAATAATTTTTTCAGTATTAATAGAGTGAAGTGAATAAAGTGGATATCGTGAGTAAAGGAAAAGAGAGATTATGGGGATATAAGGATTGAGGGAAACATGAGCTAATTAAGAGAAAAAGAAGAGATATCGTGGTTATCAATTCAAGTTTCTCCCTACCTCAGCATTAGTATATTCCGGCATTAACATAGCAAACAATAAAATCGACGAGATAACCAAAAAGAAAATAAATTTTTGAGAGGCCATATTTAAATTTATTTTTTTTAATTAAAAGTTTTTTCTGTTATTGTTAATTCAAAAATATTTTCAAGCCTTTTATAGGTACGGGATTTTAATGGCATTGACGAATTTAAAAAGTTTATTTGTCAAAACAAACATTTTTTCTAAAATTTTTAATCCATCATTTAATAAAAAGTGTTTGGTTGTACCATTATATTTTTAAAATATTTTTTACTAATTTTTTGTTAAAACTTTTATTTTTTTATTTAAATTAGTAAGGTGTTTAAAAAAAAACTGTGTGGCGATCAAGGTTAAACAACTAAATTTTTAACAAACAAAATTTATCACATGTTTAGTAATAAATAAAAAACACACAAAATAATTAAATTGCTACATTTATTTTTTTAATTAAATATTATTTTTCCAATTTTTTATTAGAAGAATCTTTTTCCCAAAATTATTTTATTATTAATTTTAATTTATATGTTAAATATTTATTTAAGTTAAAAATAGTTTATTAAATAATTCTAACTACCGTATAACCTGTATTAATTACCCTCCCTTAAATAATTACCACACTTCCATTAATTACCCCACCCAGCGATATATTGAAACAATAACTACCCCCAAACAGATGCCCCATGTCGCCAAACATTGGCGACTTTTTTGTTGAATTATCTTTTCGGGTA